ATCCATCCATCCATCCATCCATCCATCCATCCATCCATCCATCCATCCATCCATCCATCCATCCATCCATCCATCCATCCATCCATCCATCCATCCATCCATCCATCCATCCATCCATCCATCCATCCATCCATCCATCCATTATCGTAACAGCTTATTCCCTAATCGGGTCGTGGGGAACAATTCAATTAGAAATGCAAATATTGAAAATGAAAATGCTCTAACATAAATGCTTTTTCAGCAGGTTTTCCAAGCAGCTCTTTCATTCCTTCTTACATGTCCGCTGGGCAGTGCATTTTTTTGTAGTTGTTGGACCTCTCTCTGAGGATGTTCCTGCTGCCGTGCCCCCCTGTTAACCACACGGATGTTTGCTTTTCTCCCATTTCTGGACGGGGAGGTGTCATCCTTCACCTGCATCTGCATGATTCCGTGATACTGGGAACGAAGAAAAAATGGAAATCAACATTTTTTAAAACTCATTCTTTGGAAAAATGCGGTTGTAGCCACTTACGACATAAACCACATCTGTCCCGTTGTGAAACACGGCTGTGGGGGGTATCTGAAAAACAAAAGCAGAAAACTTTCAATAATGGGGCAAGTTCTAAAGAAAAGACGATGAAAAAAGGTTTGATGCTTACAGATTTGGGGTTGTCGGTAACTCTGAGTTTCTTTTTGGGGAGACCCTCCCCTGGCCCGGAGAGCCCGTCTCCTCTGGTCCAGATTACAGATTCTGTGCCAAGCGGAAGTTTCTCCAGCTGGATGGAGCCATGTTGAGGATATTTGTCTGATGGGATCTCTTTTCCTCCAAGAAGAGGAGTCTGATGATCCCGGTTTAACTTGCATTGTTCTGAAGGTTTGAACAGTTAGATGACTATGAGTTTTGCTAAAAAAGTGGGAGAAAAACAGCAGATTCATTTTACCTCCTCCTGAGTCTCTGATAGTGATTTTGGCCTTATTGATGCTGCCCACTGTTGTGGCTTCAGGAGAAACCAGAAGAACCTCAAACGTTTCATCAGCCTCCTCTATGCGGTCTTGAACTATCTCCATTTGCCATCTCCTCTTCGATACTCCTGTATGGACAGAAATAATGACGTGTTGAAAACAGTTCGAGAGGTTGAGTCTTACAATAAAAATACACTTGTTATTCTAATCCTTTAAGTCAATGTGAAGATATAATTTTCCATTAAAAAAGAGACTAATCCTGACTATTAACATCTCATTGCTAAATTACTTGATAATGCTGGAAAAGTTTAACTCTATGTTTTTTCCTTGCTAGTCGCCATAATTCAAAAGCAAAAATCTAAGTATTGGCAAATGAGCAAGTACCTGGATCAAACTGAATAAGAGATGAATGGTTTATGAGAAAATCTTTTCCGGCGGTTGCAGTCCCCTCTTTCACCTGGACAAAAAAGACACAAGAGAGTTGGGAAACACATCTCATGTCGATACAGTATCAGGTAACTGAGCTGGCACGCATCCGGCCAATCAGTGGAACTGCTCCAATAATCAAACGTCCAAGCTAATAATGCATATGAGTTATTAAGTTGAGCATGAAATGGCTTTTTGACCTGGATGGTGACATATGACGACTCAGCTAAATTCCCCTTGCGGACAATGTCGATGGACACTGTTCCCTTCCCCTCACACGCTATGGACTCAGACTGGGAGAGCTCCACGCTGGACCACCGGAACTCAAGCCTGCAAAGCAGATGGAAGCATTGGGAAGAGCTAAACTGTCTCCGTGAAAAAAGAAAAACCAGGAATAGCACCTCGGTGTGATTCCTTACGTGTGAGCCGGCCCCGTGTTGCCCAGAGGGTCAGACACTCTGAACTCCAGGCTGTCCGCCAGAGCCTCGCTGTCTGGGTCTATGATGTACACAATAGATCTTCTGTTGAGCTCCGTTTGAGAGAAGCGCTGTGAGACAAAACTGCCTGCGGGGAGCAGAGAGGAAGAATGTTTCTCTTCCCATTGCAAATGCAGCTTCAGTAAAGATGGCGACTGAATTCCTCCTGACCAGTGGTGATGTTTTCTAGGAAGCCGAAATAGGGCGGACGAACGATACAGAACATGAGCTCTTCCTCTCTGCTATCGCTGTCTTCAGCCCTGAGCTCTCGAGATGTCAGGAAGATCCCGCTCCGTCCGTCTGCTAACAGCTCTGCTCTCCAGAGCGGGAGCAGCTTCACCACTTCAGGAGAGGACTTATCCAGAGGTTTGATCTGAAATGACACCCAGCTTCAGGACAGGATTGGGCGAAAACAAGCAATTCATGACAAAAAAAAAGTTGCTTCTTTGTGTGAAATGAACAGTCATCCTGACCTGTGCGTCCAGGAAAAAAGCATTTCTTTACTAGAGGCCAACCAACTTTCCAAGAACAAGTGGTATAAGCAAAGCGTGCTGCTGTTACTGACCAGCACACACATTTTAACCACTCAAAAATGGCGGGAACATCTCTGTGGAGACGTTGGACTGAAAGTGAAAAGTCAACATGCAAGATGTAGAAAAGAAATCCAATTCATTAGAAATGCTTAATCCTCGTTTAGTACACTAAATTAGCCTCTTCGGAATGACTTGTTCTTGGATAAAGAGTTCCTTAGCAAAAGTTACCAGTTATTCAGCAAAAAGAAAATGCCTCTGTGGCGGTATGGTCATTAGCACCATCACCTCACAGCCAGAGGGTTCTGGGTTCTGGTCCCCGGGGGAACCAGGACCAGAGGGTTCTGGGAACCAGGACCTTTCTGGGTGGAGTCTGCATGTTCTCCTGTGTCCGTGGGTTCTCTCCAGGTTCTCCGGCTTCCTCCCACCGTCCAAAAACCTGCATGTTAGGTTGACTGGACATTCTAAACTGCCCTTAGGAATGAGTGTGAGTGTGTGTGGGTTTGTGTCCTTGTGTGTCTCTGTGTGGCCCTGAGATGGACTGGTGGACTGTCCAGGCTGTATCCTGCCTGACACCCATTGACTACTGGGATACGATAATGGATGGATGGAAAGCCTCGGTGATATTCTGAGCAAAATAATGCATCACATTCCATGATTTGACAGAACTAAGATTCAAGAAATATGATCTAGGTTTTGCAAAATTTTAGACATTTTTTGTTTTCCCAATATAATACACACAACCTCAAAACCTTTAATGCCATAAATGACGTTCTTTACCACCCACCTGGACAGTGAAGAACACAGGCTCTGTTTGCAACTTTCCATCAAGCAGGAAGCCTCGGCCGGTGGTGTCGGAGACAGTAAAAGCAAATCGGTCAATCTGGGAAGGCCCTCCGTCGTGTTGATAAGTCACCTCTAACTCGGTCAGGTCTCTCTGGGTGAAGTTGGAGCCAGCGGCCAGTGCAGTGCCGGCCAAAAGCAGTT